GGATTATAGTAGGATATAACTTGTTCCTGGGCTTGACCCACTTCTATTTTTTTAGGTAATCGACAGTTCCAGTCATAGGCTTGATCATGCTGAGCAGAGACTATCACTCACTCTTCTGACGATGTAAGACTTCTCTTCGTGGTTTAACTTTGGATGTTCTTTCAGTTATTTACATTTCAGTTTGGATTTTTTATTAGGGTTCACTAGAGATGAATTCCCGAATTGTTTAAGTATTAGAGGTTTTAGAAAGTTTGGGATTATTGGATTTAAAGTATCTAATTTTTAAAGGATTATATTTTAGAATTCTTTCAGCTTTTAATTATTTATTTCTTAATTCATTTTATAATCTGTGTTCATTTAAGTATTAATTGTTTGATATTCCCTCGGGTTCGGGCTTGGGCCTGATCAACCCATGTCTTAGATTCGAGGGGTATCATAGTTTTGGGGTGTGATGAATGTTGTATATTCGAGCCCCTAAATATGCGTATGTTAAGACCTTAAGTAGTATTTCTATCTAGTTTTAGACTGATTTTAGTTTACTTTGCTTTTGTAGGTACTTTCCAAAAGAAATTGATAAAATCAGGATTTTATAATGAAAAGACTGATATCAAAGTTTACAGAGTCATTGTCGATCATCTGAAGCAAGCTCAGAGTCAAAATGGTGATTTGGGAGAAGTTCAAGTGCCAAAGCTCGAGCACAAGTTCCTTAGCTGGAGCACAAAGTCAACTGAAGTAAGAAAAATAACCAAGGCCAAAAGGCTCAAGCAGAGATCTTTATGTTCGAGCACAGACTCAAGGTACTCGAGCCTTTGCAAAAGGGATCGAGTATAAATTGCCTTAGAATATTAAAAGACGCTTCGGAAGATCCATGTTGCCAGACCTCGAGCAGAGACTAAAAAGCTCGAGCATAGATCTTTCTGCTCGAGCAGAAGTCCTAAGGCTCGAGCACTGAGTCAAGGTGATCGAGCACCATGAAGAAATTATCCTAAAATATTCTAAGCGATGATGAAAAAGACGCTTCGAAAATTGTTTGAAGAATATTGGCTAAGTATAGAATTCCTGCTCGAGCACAATCTAAAAGGCTCGAGCACATGCCAAAAAGCTCGAGCAAAAGCTTCTCTGCTCGAGCCTTTGTTGTTAAGTTAAATTTCTAAGTTGCAGGATTTATTCTAATTAAGTCCTAATTCGTCCCAGACGGCCTAGATGACTCTAGAAGACCTAAAGCTTATCCTATCTTTGTTAGAAATTAGTTGCTTCTATAAAAGGATGAACAAGGCCACATAAAAACTCTTTCGTTTTAGTTTTCTCTATTCTAGATCTAGTGGAAGCTTTTAGGGTTTTTGGAGTTTTATTTGAAACATTAAAGGTGAAGATTGTAGTCCATGATGATGAAGTCCACAACAACACAGATGATATCTTGCATCGTCATGAGTAGCTAAATCATTTCTTAGGGCATTGATGTAACCTGAATCCGAATACTATGATTTGATTGATCTATACTTTGGGAATTTGACTTATTCTGCATTTTGGTTGCATGATTATGGGTAATTGATTTAGATCAATTGGATTTTAATGAAGTATATAATTTTTGAATGATTAATACCTTCTCTTAGATTTAATTGTTCATTAATTATATTCAACCTATTCTTAGTGTATGAGATTTGCGGCTAAGGACAATAAGAGTAAAGATCATGCAATGGTGTTCAAATGTTTTTTATGAATAAATGTTTTTATAGTTTATACCTAGGGAAGATGAGTTATACTACAATATTAGTTAGAAGTACATAGGTAGATAATTCATGCCAACCGAATATAGGTTATTATTAATTGAAATTCATGAAATATCTCTCTTTAAATCTGAATTAAACGAATGTTATTGAGTTTAATTTCATATTATACATAAGTGTTGAAATCCCAAGGTTGAACAATTGACCATAGTATGAGGTTCGTGGTGAAATCAATCCCTAAGATCTTCTCTCTTTAATCTCATTCCTTTATTTAGTTTAATTTTATTTATGCTAATGACACACAACAAATCAAACAAATCTTTTTCTCTGAATTAAAATAGTAAGAAATTGAAGACCTAATAAACCACTGTAGCCCCTGAGGTTCGACACCCTATAAGTAGCATCAAATGATTCGTTCTATTGGGGTGGTATTTTATTATTGACATCAAGCGCTTATGTGTCGGCCACCATCAACATCTTCATCATCACTCAGCTGTCGAGCGAATCTCTGGTAGATTCTTTGCCGCAGGCAGTGACGACTCCTTCTATGACGTTGTCTCTTGTTGTAACTCCACTGACCACTGAATCCGTCGAGCTCAAACCCAATTTAGTCCAGCGAGTAGCGGCTTAGTCATACCACTAAAGTGGAGAAAAACTCCAGTTCTTTGCAATTGCACGGTAGGCAGTAAGGACTAAAGCTGGAGGTGTTTAGCGAGAGTAAGGACTGATGCTAGAGATGCGGGCACGAACTGAACTCGTGGTTTGAGAGCTTCTCTTCCTTTCAATCAGGCGAGCACCAAGCCATCACGACCCAGTTTAGCCCAGTGACTGAACCGAGAGCCTTCATGCATCGGTAACCATCACAAATCTGACCATGGCAGCCACGAAAAACTTATCACACCTCCGTCTATAACACGAGTGTTAATAACGCACCTTACGCACTTCATGCATCTTCTTCCTCCAAATCACGTGCCCCACACGCCCGACACATTTGCTCCCCTCACCTCACCTCTGGCGCCATTCAACCCAAGCCACGTGCCTACGAGAAGCTTCCGGAGTCATCACCTATGAATCTTCTATTCCAAAATCGTTATTCGCGAGCTTCTCTTCCTTTCAGTCTGGCGAGCACCAAGACATCACGGCCCAGTTTAGTTTAGCAGTGGTGATCGATCCAAACTCATAGACGATGGACGGTGATGATACAACCATAACTCTACAACAACTCTTCGGGGACTATAGATTACACACATGATGGCGGCGTTAAAGAACCTTAGATCGCGATTGTTACAAGCATCAATCGCAACTTAGTCAGGGACTCAACTCACAACTATAGACCACGGCAGCAATACCGACCAAGAGCAAAATATCGATGAATTAATTTCGCGATCCGAAAGAAAAATAAAAAAAATTTGCTAAGAAGAGGAGAACGCAGTCTCAGCTTTTCTCTGGCGGCTGTGAGTTTCACTTTGGCATTCATCACTGATCACCTAGTTCTGGCACCTGAGATTTCGGCCATGCTCTAGTAACAGTGAGCGTCAACAAGAACAACAACTCCAATGAAACTTGGTTAGTCGGAAGAGTCTAATTTTGGTTCAGGACAACGTGGGAGATTATCATAATGTGGCTGGCCACGTATGCTTCGGTCTAACAAATTTGCCAAAATGGTCGGCCCAAATATCATTTTTCTTTTAAAAAAAATAGTCGTGAAACTAGACAAAAAAAATTAGACCGATTTGTTAGGTAGAATTTGTATGATACAAAAAGACAAATAATATTTAGCAGTGGGTCATGCTAGCTTATTACAAAGTATTGAACTTTTAATATTATTTCTGATCCCCTATTGTTCCGTCTTCAATTAGAAATTTAATTCCTTATTTAATTATTTCCATTTTCTTTCCTACAAATATCTTTGCACTAGGAGTTCGTCTTCTATTAGGAATTAATTAGCTTCTTCTTTAATTATCTCTATTTTTTTCTTCATAAATAGAGTAATTTTGAAAATAATGTTTTTATCATCTCCCAAAATCCTTTCAATTGTGGATTCAATCTAAATGACGACAATATCACCATTTTTGGTCCATTAGGTTAGGCAATGCTTTTCGAATCATAATTACGGAGTAATCATTTTAGATTTTGCACAAAAAAAAAAAAAAAATTCATGTATACGACACCATTTGTTTGGATGTAAAATAATACAAACTGTGTCGTATACATGATTTTTTTTATTTATTTTAATTTTGATATTTTTTATTTACTGGCATTTGGTTGTCATAAAATATTTACGAACCAGATAGATTTGATCTCAACCTTGATTTATACCCTTATCAAATATCGAGAAATTAAAAAAAGATCTATATTTTACTTGAAAAAGAAAAATATTTTTGCTCCAAATAGTATGCCGAAAAATTGCTGAAGTTCAGAATGGACCCTTCATTATTACCTTTGAGAACATTAATTTTCTAATTGTTTCAAAATTAAACCATTTTTGCCAACATAATTATATCCTGTTTTGTTTATGGAAAAATCATTTTTATGGCTTTTTTTTTTTTTTCTCTGTAAGTGTCGTGTTGTCCGGGTTATTGCATAGCTCCTCGTGTTGGAGTAATGCGCCCTCCTCCTCTCCTCTAACAACTTATCCCTAAAATTCTTGCCATAAAAAAATAAAAAAAAAAAAATTTATTTTATTTTTTTCCCAAAAATTGGAATTTTAACAAATTTGATTTTTTCTCAGTAATTGGAATGTTAACAATTTTGTTTTTTTCTCAAAAATTGGAATTTTAACAGTTATTGCAACAATTTTGATTATTCATTAGGAGCGCATTTCGGTCATGTTTATTTTTTAAGACACAATTAGGTTCTGATCACATCACCCCAACATGGTTGTTAGTTCCCTAATATGCTCTAGGACAGTATTCTGTTGAAATTCGTTAAAAACTCTTTAATGCTTGAAAATGCACCATTTTTTAAACTTGAGAATTTCCTAAACTCAACTTCTACATAACTTTTACATTCAAAACTCACTCTTTCAAATATCAAGAATATATATATTTAAAAAAAAACAAAAAAAAACTAAAATTAAGATATATATATTCCCTTATTTTATTTTTAAAGAAGGGATAGGGGGCAACATAAATGAATAAGGACATGATGAATATGAAGCTTGATTGCTTAAATAAGGAGACCTTATAAATTATGATTTCTTAGTACCAAAAAAAAAATTGGTGATTACCCACAAAAAGATTTCTTAGTACCCAAAAAAATATATATACATGGTGATTAAAAATGTACCTATTTCTGAGCATATATCTGTATTAGAAACTAAAGCAGTCATTTACATAAAGTTGCCCCAAAAGCTGAATAATAAATAGGGTGATCCATAATAGTTACATTTTATTTCAACTTGACTATAGAAGTATTCTCTATATAGAATCTACGAAAACATTCTATAACTCGAATGCTAATTTATATACCAACTCAATCATTTGAATTGCTAATGAATTTCATATAACAATCACCACAAACAAACCCTGAAGAGCCTGGAAGACTGCACTGCTGATCAGCGTGTTGGCTACAATATGGCTGATTACAGAAGTTACATTTCGGAAGCTCAAACCAGCATTCCGAACACAAGAAATCTGCACAAGCTGCCTCTCCCAGCTCTTCAAATCCTATGCATTTCCCGCACTCTTCACACCTCGGAATGCAGTGGTAGCATCCTCTACACTCTATCTGTTGGAGCTGCCTCTTGATCTCACAACTCTCCTTTGGGCAGTCGAAAACCATCCTTACTTCATCACATTTCGGACAGATATCTATGTCAATTAATGGACAATCACTTTCGTCGTGCCCAAATGTGGAGAATTTTTTAGACTCAACATATAAGCTGCATTGTTGTTTTTGCCTTCTTTGTAGTCTTGGGTTGATATCAAGATAAGAGTGCAGAGTTTTGAGGTGCTCTTTGTTTATGTTGTAGATACCGCTAATCTTTAAGCTAACTAAACTGAGATTGTTGCCAGTTAGGATCTTCACTGTGTTAATGACTCCCTCGGGTGTTAATGCTGTGCATGATGGAATATAGAGCTGAAAATCACGAAAAAAACGTTAGAATTTCTGGGCTTGAGCTAGCAATAAAGCATATTATATAGGAATTCCAAGCCTTTCCTGAAGCAGTTTTGGTTGTACGTATGTCCTAGGAATGTATCAGGAAAAGCATGATAATCATTTGAGAAAGCAACCAAATTTTTATGGGTATATATATACATATATGTTTTCAACTCTAGTTTAATGTTGTCCAAACACTGCTAAATGTGCTTCTGTTATTGTTGTCCCTCAATAACATATGCAACCACTATTTTAATAACTTAATTGTATACCATACTTAAAGGAACGTAATGACACAGGTGCATAAAAACAGGGATGAAAGCTTGATAGAGCATACTACTGTAGACAGAATAGATGAATTTGCTACTTAAAAAAAATAATACGGACTAATAAAAAAAAAATCAGGGTATATGAAAGCTTGATAGAGCATTACTACTGACTGCTGTATACAGATTTCTTTAGGTACTCCAAGTGCAGGTCTGCAATTTCAGTGATTTATATATTACTTCCAACGCGTTATCTTCTAATCTTTTTTCAATCCTGTTAATTGAAACGCATTTATTTGCCCCATTTAGATAATTGTTATATGGAAGAAAGTTGAGAAACTAATTATAAATTGGGATTACAAGTTAACTAGCAATTTAGCAGGAATTTGAGTTGAATAAACCCTTGATGAGGTTGCATCACGCGGTGGAATCATTCAAATCATTTCATTTTTGTATTCGAGTTTGTTAAATTCTGCTGGACATCATATGCCAAATTACCAAGCAAACTCAATTAATCCCATAATTCATACCAGTTCTTAATAACTAGAGAAAAATAGAATGTATATTTAGATGTGGAAATCACTACTAGATTATTTAATTTACTCTAATTTGGTTTTCAATTTTTATAAAATTTTATAAAATTTTAGAGATGCTATATCAAAATTCACCACTAGTGAGAAGGGGAAAAAATTGAAAAATAAAATAAAAAAGGAATGAAATTCTCACCAATCATATCTTATCCTTTCCCATCTCCAAAAACCCAAAAAAAAGTTTCCTCGGGGCATATCACAGTTCGGAAAGTAAATAACTGATTCATTAAAATAATTCAATTAAATCAATTTAAACAATAAATTAATGAATTTAAACTAGTATTATTGTTTGTTGACTCATACTTCACCTGCTAAAGGAGAAATAAGCATACCTTGCTAATAAGAGGATTCTTTTCCACAACCCTTTGAAGTCCATCATCTGTGATCTTCACACAGTTCACCAAAGCCAAAGTCCTCATCCGACCGTTTGATTTGGAAGCTATTTTCATCAGAATATCATCAGAAAGCCGCGAGTTTAACGGCTTTTTCACGACAATATTATTAAGCCATGGTAGTATATCGTTGTTCACTGCATCTCTCAGTGACCTACAAGCTTGACTCAGGGCCAGAAGCTCAAATAGAGGAAGGTAAGCTAAGACAAGAAACATGGCTTCATGGGGTGGACTACTATGTGTGGAATTATCAATGACTTCTTCTTCTTTGTTCTCAGCAGAAAGTGAAGGGTTCATTTCCAAGTATACAAAGAAATTATAATTGGGTTATAGAAATTTTGGTTTTCAAAGAATAGAACTCGTGGGTTGAACTCAAAATGTTTTTAGAGATGGGGGGAGAAGAAGACTGATTAAGATTCAAGACTTGTTGAATAAGAAAAAAGAAAAAAGAAAAAATATGGTGAAATATAATCTTTTTTGTCTGGAGAGTGGAGAGAGGTTTCACATTTTGATTTCTCTTTTAAGATGTGCACAAATAGCATCCAATCAAATTCTGAACAGAACTTTTTAGGACCACAAACGTGTTCCCTATAATTTATTTAAACCCAATAATAACCTCTCACAAAGTATTTGCTAATGAACCACTTCGAAAATTTGTTTATGGAAGAGAATGTGAGTCCATGTCAAAATGCATTTTTGTCTAGCTATAAAATGCTTAGATACTGTGGATTTTGTATTAGGCTTTATTTGTTTCGAAGCAAAATACTTTTTTTCAGAAAATATATATATTTTAAAGTAAAATATATTATTATTATTTATTATTATTATTTTTTTGTGTTCGGTAAAGGTTGAGGTCAAGGTTGAGTTCGAGTGACTGAGAATTACTTAGTATAATAATAAGTTCTATTTTTCGTCTTAACTAGCAAATCGAGAACCTTGTTTTCAGCATATGATATAATTTGTCTAAAATTGATGAATAAATTATTTTTATTAAATTTTAAAAATAAAAAAATATTTTACTTCCACACAACCAATTTCTAATTGAACCCCTTTTATAAGTTAAAATTATTTTTTCACCCCTAAAGTTTATTTTATGCACAATTTACCCAAAGAATAACTTGTAGAAATTCTAAAATATTGTCAAGTAGCACTTAGGAACTGTTACACTTCATTAGAATTAGGAAATACAACACATAACCTTTAACGAAGAATAGAAGAACTTCGATATAGAATTATTCTTATACAAAAAATTTTAGAAGCTAGACGACAAAGGTTTTAGTTAAGCTGATGAGCATAATAGACTTTAATAACCTAGACACCTTGATAAAACGACTCGGCAAGAACTTAGATTATATTAAAACACAAATCGATCATAATTCCAGCCTCAGAAATTTAGACAATAAAATCACTAAAAGAAGATATCTAAGGGGTATTACAATAATTTATGAGTACCAGTGATTACCTACAAGCCTTATCCGAGCTTTATAAAATAGATAAAGAACCTAAAAGATTTATAAGTTTTACGACAGACGTAAAATCAACTAATATATATATTCGACAAGACAACTTTTTAGTCCAATTATTACTCCAATTATCTGAAATGGTTAATAAACTTGAAGAGAAATTAGAAGTATTGTAAGAAAGTATTTCTAAAGAATCTTCTAAATAAAAAACTGAACTTTTAGATAAAATAAAGAATTTAAAATTATCAACTAATCATTTCTCGGCTAAAAACACCAAGCGAGTAAATCTATTACAACCATATAAAGAATGGCCATTATTCTTAGCAAAGCTAAAGAAATAATGCGCGTAGAATATTTATTTGATAATGAGCATGATGCTCAAAATTATATAGGAAATGGAATGAAGAAAGTACCTAAGAAAGTTAACCTTTATTCTAGTAATCTGTTAAATTTTCATAGTAAAATATATGATCATCTTAGCCAAAGAAGAATAAGTGTAGTTAATAATTAAGTAATATTAGATCTCATAACACCAGAAGCTTATCATGAATTAGAAAAAACTAAATTAGATCTTATGCATTTAGGTTTTATTATGATTGGTATAGTAGGATTAAATAGATCAGAAGTAGGAACCAAAACACTTGTTTATATCTACGACGACATATGGACTAACCATCAACAAGCACAAATAGCTAACGCATAAATAGATTTAGCAGTTAACGCAGCCATTGTAGGATGTATTCCTAATTTCACAATGACCACTAGAGAATTTAGCAAACATATTAAGATAGCAATATCTACAAAGGGATATAATATGGCTGAGCAATATGAAAACCTATTAATTAATACTTTATTTATGGGAAAAACAGTTAATCAGTATAACCAAAAGTTTAAGGCACAATTTGATGAAATAGTTAAGCCATTTAGTAGTAAATACGTTCAAATGATTGAAGTTAGGAAATTAAGTAGCGAAATATACGAAGGAACTGAATGGGAATTACCAAATCTTAATAAAACCATCCAAAAGATTCTTGATAATAATAAAATATGTAAAACATAACCATCCAAAAGATTCCGAAGAAATTAATGTCCTCTATGATAGATTAGAAGATGAAATTCTAGATAAAATTATGTTTGATTTTGACTATTTAAAGATACAAGATTTAAAGGATAAATATCTAGAACCCAAGTATCAACTTCTAGAGAGCATTTATCAAGGACAAAGAAATAATGACGATATTAGGAGAAATATTCTAAATGTAGGATTTGAATCTTTTTACACAAAGAATTAATTAAACACGTTAAAAGAAGAATTAAACGTAATAGAACATAGGGAAGGAAAAGAAATAGTAGAAACATCGGTTTCTCAAAACCAACCTACAGGTCAGGCGAACAAGAAATGCACAATGCCATAAGAAGTACTAATACAATAAACGACGACTATACCACTGGACAATGGTTAAATCCCACACAAGAAACTTATGTCAAAAATAGAAATATATCAGATATGTACATATGGACACAAAATCGTAGACGTTACGATAATATACCAGCACAACAAGTATGTACAATACTAAACATATCACGACATGATCCCTTGGGCAAATGTAATCGAAATTTGGGAACAAGACTGTATTAGGTAAGTTATTTTAACCAACTCTGATAATAAAACACAAGCCCTAACTTATTGTGAAATCTTATTAAAGGGAACCATCCATGATTGGTGGCAATCTTATAAAGTAACTTATGTTAATGATTATGCCCTCCTACGAGATAATTTTACAATTCAAGGTTTTACCAATTTAATAAAAAAGGTGTTAGTAGGAGAAGATAGATTATTAGACGAAACTCAAAAAAAGCAAACCAAAGCTTTACATAATTTAGAATTACTACAAATTTGTGATTTTAGATATATAAGGGATTACACTAATAAGTTTTTCGAGTATTACATAGCCACAGGCAAAACAAGAGATATAACCTTAATCGACAGGTATCTAAAAAAATTACAAGGAAGTGTAGGAACTAAGATATGGGAAAATGGTTAGAAAATCCCAGAAGAGATAGGTTAACTATAGGAGATAGAGTAAACTATGTTTATAATATGTTAAAAGTAGAATGTAGAAAATGTAAAGAATCTAAATAAATTAAGAAACAATTTTATTATACATGTAGACAAATAGACTTTCCACCACAATATGGTTGTATGCCGTAGAAAAATTATAAGCGTAATAAACTAAAAAATATAATCTACACAAAAGCAAAACCTACAAAAATTATCGTAACAAAAAACCTTATTTCAAAAATAACTCCAGACAATTCAGAAATGGCCCTTGGTATAAAAAAATAAAAAATAAATAAAGATAATAATAAAAAGGATAATAAAGATAATAAAGTTAACACATTACCCACAAAAAAATGAAATTGTAAATGTTTTATTTGTGGAGATCCAGTTCATATAAGGCCAAATTGCCGTTATAGACACAGACAGAATCCTATCAAAAGTATAGAGGAAAAAATCAATATACTTGAAGATATTGAATAATAAATAGAAGAATTATATGAACTAGAAAGTATTTATGATTTCGACGATGATAATGAAAGTATATATAGCATCGAAAGCATAGATAACGAATTCTATAATGATGAAGACTTTGAGCAAGGACTTCATTCAATGGAAGATTTCGTTTACACTATAAGCAATCCATCATGTCACTATACTTTAGTTAATTTTCATTTCCCATCTTTTAATTGTAAACAATGTAGTGCATCCATTAAAGAAGGTTATTACTGTAGAGACCATTATAAAACTTTATTATGTCATGACTGTTACTTAAAATACGAGGATCAACTAAAAGATACACTAGTGGAATCTATAAATTCAATATATAAACCATCTAGTCTAATCCAATTCCCAGTAACGTTAGAATTTAAAGAAAAATTAGTTCAAACTTCTGCTATGTTAGATACTGGAGCATCTAAAAGCATAATTCAAAAGCATTTAGTACCAGAAAAATAATTAATAAAATTAAACTATAATGTTTTTATGAGTCAATATAATAATACAAAACTTCCAATAACTCACTATGTTCAAAATATTCCTATATTAATTAATAATGAAAACCTTATTTTACCACAAACTTATGCAATTAATAATATTACCAGTACTTATGATTTTATTTTAGGATTAAATTTTATAAATTCACTCACTGGAAGATTCATGTATATTCTACAAGTTTACAGTTCTTTAAAAAAGGAACTTTTATTCCATCTAAAAATCTTTGTAATCCCCAAAAAGAAAAAGGAACTATTACTTATTGTAATACTTTACCTATAACAGAAGAGACTACAGAAAACTTATTTGTTGTAACCGAATTTTTAGAAGATGTCTCTAAATCATTAATGTTTCTCAGTTATTTGGATGAACCTAAGATTTTCCTTAATAACAAAGCCACACTTAAAAATCCCAAATTAAACATAGATAATCTTTTAAGATTAGCTAAAACAACTGAAATCGTAGAAGAAGATCATCATAAACACTGGTATAAAAATAAAATCGAGGCAAAATTAAATATAATCAATCCTTTTATAACTATAAAAACTCAGGACAATCCATGCACTCTAGCTGACCAAGAAGAATTCCATAGATAAATTAAAGAACTCTTACTACTAAAGGTAATAAGAAAAAGTAATAGTAGATATAGGAGTCCAGCTTTTATGGTTAGAAATCATGCCGAAATAAAGAGAGGAAAAACTCGAATGGTTATAAATTATAAAAGATTAAACAATAATACTTATGATGATAGCTATAAAATCCCTAATAAAGATGTTTTAATTAACATAATACAAGATAAAAAATGATTTTCTAAATTTGACTGTAAATCAGGATTTTGGCAAATCCATATAGCTAACGAATCCATTGAATGGACTACATTTATATGTCTTGAAGGACATTATGAATGGTTTGTTATGCCTTTTGGATTAAAAAATGCACCACAAGGATTCCAACAAAAAATGGATACCATATTTAATAAACATTCAAATTTTTGTTGTGTTTATATCGATGATATTTTAGTCTT